ATGTACTTTTCCACTGACAGTAACGTGCTGCAGTAAGCCATCTCCACATATTCTCCTAATCAATTTTCTTTTCACATTATCAAGGGTTTTAACAAAACTCTCATTTGCACCCCAATGAAGCAAATGTGCACAACCATCTGCTTTCAGGCTTAAAGCCCCTTCACTTACGGCTGCAGGAGCATTCACAGCTCATCCAGTGAGTCAATGATGTCTGGCAATAACCTTTGCAGACCACACTGAATACATTCTACTGACAGTTGCAGGAAGCTCAGAAGACAACAGTACTCAACAAAATCCATCTGTTTACAGTGAAAGCATACATGCATTCTGTTCCATACAGGCTACTGACCGACCACTTCATCAGGATGTTTCCCAAATACCAGTAGTCTTGTCAAGAGATAATTCCAAACCTCCACAGCCTGAATTTCCTTCCAGATTCAAAGCACAATGCAGTATTTGAGACAGAGCTTGGTTAAGTCACCTTATCCCCATGAATTGCATGATTTGCTCTTCAGCTTCATGTCAATCAAATTTTTCTATCATCTACCTCACTTTTTGTATCCTCAGCTTAAAAGCTTCTTTGCAAGTTTTATTTTAATTTGGATTACGGTAATCATGCTTTTCTGATATTTCAGAGTTAGCTTCCTCTGGGTAAAATGAAAAACATTGCAAGGGCATCAGAATTTGTGAATGCCAGAAATAAAACTACCTTCTGGCTGCCTTTCTCACGAATATCCACAGCTAACAGATCCAGGGCAGTATGATCCTTACTCTTCTATGTTTCTAAAGAACTTCAGCTCCAACCAAGTTTCTAATTTCATGTTCTTCCAAGTTCTTTAACCTCTGTATACTCTTGGAATCATATGGAATTCAGAAATCACCCTAGGACCCAAGCAGCTTGAAAACAAATCCTCTTTATTTGCAGACCAACTCCACCTATGCTTTCAAAATAGGCTGCAAAACCTTTTTTAGTTCCATATTTAGAGTCCTTTCTCCAAACTTGCCAGCTCTGAAACGCAAATGTTTCCAGACAATTCCCAGTACCACTGCTACCTGTACCACCCCAAGCTAGAGATCTGCGAAAAGTAATTCCTTCCATGTACCCTCCAGCTACACATAAATTTCAGAGACGTTAGCTAAATTTGCAAAAAACTATCAAACCACAAACACAAAAAATTAAGCTTATGCACACCACTTTTATTAAACTCAACACTACCAGAGTGCTTTTTAAGGCCTCAGTATGGAAAACAAACTTGTTCTTTAGCAAAGCCATGCTTCCATCTGAAATGCCAAGCAGATCAGTCTGAAGGGAGTGAATAGAAAGAGCATGAACCTCTAGCTCGTGACTAACATATTTCATGACAACTCACTACTTTTACTCTATTTCTGATCACAATTTGTAACTGGCAAACTACGTCAGCCCTGACCTGTAGAACTCTACCCAAGCTCTCTGAAATATTAGGAGCAAGGTATATATAGGCAATGCACACTTGTATAACCAAAATGCTCCTTAGTACAATACAAAAGTGCTGCAATTCTCAGAACATTTCTCTCCAATTCAGCCAGTGGATTTCTAGGTGTAATTAAATGTATTAGTTTCACATAACAAAACATATTAAATGCATCCTCAAAACCTCTATTTCAAACGCAAGATGGAGGAAAATCTCTGAGGAATAGAAACCTGCATTCCGCTGACTGCTAGTCAATGATGTGGAGGAGGGGTGAACTGGAAGCAGAAATGAACACCGTATTTCACTCCTCAGCAGGTTGCCACGCTTTTGCAGTGACTTACAGGCCACATTGCCAAGCCCTACTCTCCCAGTTCATTGACTGCAAATCGAAAGGCGTCAAAGAAGGAAGGAACAATTGTGAGACAACTTACAAGAATTTTCATAGAATCTAATGTAGCATATCTCTTGAATTTCTCTCAAATTTCTCTCTTGGGAGTTTTGCAAGTAACATAAAATTAAAATATCCACAAAGCGTTGCTTCAGAACATGACTATGACTTATTTTAATTAAGAACTTTAGTAACAATTGCTTTGTACTACAAGCTGTTGGCAGAGAGGCAACAAAGATGCCTTCTGATTCTCTCTAATGTGCACGTTAAATTAGAGATTGAAGAACAGTTTCATCAGGTTTCCTAAACCTTTTTCTACTGCATGCTGGCCAAGCTGCAAACAGGTTTTTACTCAACTGAATATGAATACGTCAGCCCCTGTAAAGACAGCGTGCTAAGAATATTATAAGTTTCCGACTTAAGGTTCTATTTTCATTTTGCATGTCTTAAAAAGTATTACAAACTTATGGAGGAGTCTTATTGGAAAACTCAAGACAGAAGAAATACCTGTAGTAGATCTACCAATTTTTACAACTAGATGAAGGAACAATATTTACAATATAAAGTGTTATGTTTTCCAAGCTTGGTCCTACAGACTGCAGAAAGATGACCAGCACCACATCAGAATGTTGAAACAATACTCAGCATCATCCCACAGGAAGGCTCTTTAACCAAATTAATTCAAACTGGTCTAGTTGTGACCCTGTCACGTATGCAGAAAGCTGAAAGTCCAAAGCAGTCAGAAATGAGACATTTTTAACATCTTTAAATATGATGGGAAAGCGGAAAACAGCAAATTAGTTAGCAAATCCTGCTAGACTGGATAGATTTTAAAATGTGGGGGAAAGGTTTTTGGAAGCTAAAAATACATATGCAAGAAAGATGAAAAAAGCAACCTTTAGAATACATGCAATCCATCTGGAGAAAAATAATCCAGAACTACAGCAGATGAGAAAGACAGGAGTGCAGTGATGTGGAGCAAGTCTGAAAAGCAAGAGTGGGAAAAATTGTACAAAATTTTCAATGCACCATAACAGCAAAGAAAAAAACACGACAGTTTTTGACTGCATAAGTAAAGCCCTATAGTCCAAAAAAAGCAGAAAAAAATACCCTCTGTGGGCTTCTGGTAAGACTATGCTTATCACATTACGTACATTTAAACATATCCCAGAAGGAAGAAGAAAAAAAAAAAAAAAAGGGTATTTTGGAGAGAATTCAGAAGACAAAAATCCAAAAGCTGGAAGACTGAATTACAAGAAAAGATTAAGGGAATAAAAAGCATTACTTCACTAAATGGTGACTAAGAGCAAGGGTACAAGTATTTGAAGAGTATGAGACACCACAGGGGAAGAAGATATATTTGAAATGAAGATGAAGAAATACAAATAGAAGATTCAGAGAGAAGCTTACTGATTTAGCTGGCTACAGAAATATGTCTCCAAAAGGAAGGGCTAGAAGCCATAGCAACTGGAGTCTAGAGCAAATATAAAGGACAGATGAGAGGAAGAGACACGATTTTAGCTAATAGGACTTCTCTATCTTAACTTATTATGATACGGTAAAAAGACTGTGGGAAAGGATACTCCCTTATCTGGCAGTAAAAGCTATGTATTTCACTAGGATCTTAAAGTAACTGAAAAAAGAAACAGTACCAGGGCAAACTGCACTTTTGTAACGATCTAATAGGATACTGAATCCATGTAATTAGTGATCTTATCATAGCCACACAGCTTTCATCAACTGTACCTGCTAACCAAATTGTGCTTTTTTCATAAATACATTTTAACTTCTGTCTCTTACCTTAAGAGGCTCGTACCAGAACGGTAGCTCAGAACCAGGGCTGAAAAAGTGCTGACTGGTGCACCAAAGAATATCCTCATCATTGATCTTCCCTTGCCTTATAACATGGAGCAGATGATGACGATAAACAAAGGATTTTATATCAGCTGATAAAGCAGCTCATGTAATGATGCAGCTGAGATGACCCTCTCTGAATCATGAGCAGTCTGGAGAGCAACTATAGAGTCTGAAGGTGAATCAAACAATTTCTCCCAGAAACAAGTCTCTCTCTAGTTCTGGGCCACTAGACAAATGGCTCGCTGCAACCACTGTACACTGGGAAAGCTCTGTCAAAAGTAGTAATAATCAGAGGGGCCTTTTAAAAAAGAAAATCTTCTTAAAAGAAGAAAACCAACAACAAAAAAGAGAGGAAAAAAACCCTGCTCATGCAATGAATTCCACTACGATAAAGTTATTCCCCAAAGTGAAAAGGTTTGAATAGCTATTTTTTGTCTCCTGAATACATTGCCTAAAACTTGAATCCAGACCAAATTTCAGCTTTAGAAATTACCTAGTTCTGCCTCCTCAACTCTCTCTGTGCATTATCAACTGGACATGGCTTTTCCCATCCTAAACTATCACTGAACAGCTGTTGTGCTCTGCTGATGAACAAAGCAAGACATACATTTCTCTTAAGTCTATTTGCCAGTTTGCAAAAAAATGAAGGTTTTCCCCTCAGGTACTAAACGAGTTAGGAGTAAGTCATGGTTCGGCTTTCCCACAAAGCAGAAGTACAGAAAGACAACTCCATTACCAAAATATGACTACATATACATAGAAAGCTCACAAATAAATAGCCAACAAAATCCTGTTTGGCAAGAATATGGTAAGTCTCACCTTCAGTCTGCAAGTATGATTATGAAGCTTGGCTCCTACCTTCCTGAAACTGCTGGTAGCTGCTCCCCTAAAGGTTAGCCACTTTTAGGAATGTTAGGAAATGATCCTGAAGCCTCAGCTGAAAAACTCCCTCAGCAAAGCCAACTGTAGTATCACAAACAAGATGCACATTACCTGAAGTAGTACAAAGGACCTACTAGGTACTCTGAATGATATTTAGACTTAGGAATAATTCCATGACATGAAAGATATTTGTTTGTCATGATATTTGAAAACAGAGTAAAGTTTCACAATTCTGTTATATTTATGTTCTCCTGCCATGTTTGCATATCTCTAACAAACCCCTTCACATGTTTATTATTCAGGGGGCCTGCAGCATGCTGCTTCTTTGCTATCACAACCCAGCAACTAACTACGGGGCTAGAGCCAAAGTGACACAAAAATCACTGATGAAAACACACGGAACAGAATACACATACACTCACCCTCATAGAGGTTTCTCCACCGTGAGGTTGTTGCAGCCTGAAGACTTGAGCAACCATGTGTTCTGTGGAGGGGTGCAACAGGATACGTCGGGAAGCCAGTCCCACCATTACATATCTGCCCATTGGAGACAGGCTCACAGAAATGGCATTAGGGCCTATAAAGAGAAGAGGGGTTATTTCTTTCACAAGTTGACATCCGTCCCTGTGCTTCATCCTCATGCTTCTTCATTGCCTTCCAGCATCCCCATAACATACAGCACATTAAGCTCATTCTTACAAGAGGTAAAGAAGAATAAGGAGACCTGCACAAGTACAAATCTTGCAAGACATTTCCTTGCTGCAAGTGTTCTGCCACTAAGACAATGAAGTTCTTTAAGGAATACAAACCCACCCCTTAGCAGCTCCCCTGCACCAGCACCTTACATGTCCAGACCATACCACAAGCTTCTCCTGAGAAGTACCATGCTTGTAGCCGGTTGGCAGGTCAATAAAATATTTTCTGTTACTACAATCACTGATGTTCAGACTATCATCTCACTGAAGGCTGAGTTCTGAGGTAACTTCTCACATGCCCAACCACCCTGACTTCTTGCTGTATGCTCACCAAATCGCTTTGTGTAAAGCATCTCGCCCAAGTTGTGGGGTGCCAGAGAATACACAGCCAGTATTCCTTCATCAGGGAAGCCTCTTTGACTGCTGGGAATGAAGGCTGCCAGCAGCTGCCCATCGGCAGAGATATCACAGCTAGCATCATTGTAAATCTTGCAGTTTTGAACAAGCACGTTCACAGAGGCTGCAAAGAAGAAAGAAAGGAACAGTGATTAAAGCACTCAGGTTCAATTGAGAACAAAGTAAGATTTAAACTTAATGTTGGAGACTGGACAAGTACATGCAAAAGGCACTCAAGACATTTAGCTTCCTCCAAAAGTTTATGAAACGTTAATACCCTGATTAATGTAAAACTTGCTCCAAAACGGAGATAAGACACCACAATGAGCCCAGGAAGTGAAGTCTACTCACCTCCTGGAGCCTTCAGCCAAGAAACAGTAGCAATTGCACTTTATCAAACCCCTCCTTTGTTGAGCATAACACCATCTTTTGCAAAGGACAGCACAGTTTAAACAAGTCTGAACTCATGACTCTGACAAACTCCAGCAGTGGTATGATTAGAAAGAGTACACCTTAATTCATTCCCCCTTCTCTGGTGGAGCCCCTAGTTCCAGCTCCCCTTATCTCCAATAAACAGGAGATGAGAGAAACATTCCTCCCTGCAGATACAGACATTCATTTCTGACAGCTGATTTTTACACCAGTCTTGGGTAAAGCAAGTGAGAAAGGGCAGAGACTCCTTCAGCCAGTCCTCCATTTAATCACTCCAGTATTTGAAACACTCATGCAATCAGTGAAGTAACTGTTCAGCAGAAAGGGTAGCAAGCAGCAATTTACAAAATACAAGTTTTACTTTAATCTCTGCTGGCTAGTTGCTGAGTGACCAAGTACAAATCTTTTCCCCTCCATCTCTTGCATATGCAGACTACAAGCTCTTTGGGCTACTGAATCTTACTCTGCACTTCTGCCATTCCTAGTATAATGAGGTTCCAAGGCCTTTTAGCATCGTCATCATCAACAGTGGCTTGGTAAGACAAGGCTGGAGTTATGTTCACTCCCTCAGCCTACCATAAATGCACTCCAGTTTTGCACTAAAACAGCTGCAATTATTCCAGGAGGTTTGGAGATAAAACTGCACATCTCCCTTATTATGAAAGGCTGAGGGAGCTGGGTCTCTTGAGCTTGGAGGAGACTGAGGGGTGACCTCATCAATGTTTAAAAATATGTAAAGGGTGAGTGTCAGGAGGATGGAGCCAGGCTCTTCTCTGTGATGTCCAATAACAGGACAAGGGGCAACGGGTGCACGCTGGAGCACAGGAGGTTCTACATTAACATAAGGAAAAAATTTTTCACTGTGAGGGTGACAGAGCACTGGACAGGCTGCCCAGAGAGGCTGTGGAGTCTCCTCCTCTGGAGACATTCAAAATCCGCCTGGACGCATTCCTGTGTGACCTACTCTAGGTGGTCCTGCTCTGGCAGGGGGGTTGGACTAGATGATCTTTTGAGGTCCCTTCCAACCCCTAACATTCTGTAATACACGATTTTGGGGATGGGGAAGTTTCAAAATCTAGTATTTTCAAACTCAAGGTGATAGAAATATAAAAAAATAGAAATAAACCCCACATTTGCAATACAGAAAATCTGCATGCTAGAAGACTGAATACCTTATCTCACATGGTTGAAGCTATAGCATCATGTGGAGCAGTATGTCAACTTCCACAGTCCAGACATTCTCTTCCAAACCATCAGACCATGCCCAGCCTAGAAGTAGCTTTGATTTTTTTCAGCTAAAATTGCAGCTAAGTTTATGAAGGAACTTCTTGGGCTAGATTCCTTATTAGTTTAATAAAAGAACAGCGCCAAGAATGGTTTGTGCATACTTCTGAAAGTCTGAACTTCCAAATCGAATTAAAGCTGTTACTCAATGCTTTAACAAACTGGCACTGCTGCCAGAATAAGCAATCCCTGCCCTTTGTTTTCAACGCTTCTGTGGAAAGCATCCTACATCAGGGAATGTGTATGGTTGAGAAATATCCTAACTAGGTCACTTTTTAGCCAGAACAACCTGGTATACCACATGGCCGCACAGACAACTGCAGCAGTAGAAAAAGAAGTCATGTCAGAGAAGCAGACAGGACTGCTCCTTCTTCCAGCACTGCTGATTTAAAGCACTGGCTGAACCTCATCTTTATTTCTTCTTGTCTGCTTTCTTACACAGCTGAGTATTAACTTTTACTGTTCCATTTAACAAACTCCGACGAAAAAGACGACAAGGATAAAAAGTGGACTTGGTAATTACATTCTGTACCAAACCGCCTACACCTGTACTATAAATTTATTCAACCATTTTTTTCAGTCTCAAAGCTGCTAAAAACAGTAATTTTCATCCTAGTATAAACAGAAAGGTGCTGAACAGAAAAAGGTAAATAATGGTAGTCATTGTCAGTGCTGTAATAACAGAATCTAAAATAACACATGGCCCTTCAAAGAACAGACTGTCCCAAAGATGACAAAATTCCTGAGTGCTTAGGCTGAAGCTAGTTGAACAGGAAGACAACAGAATAAAGATTAAAGACTATACTACCTAATTTTTAAAAAGGTAGCATTAAAATCTGTCCCCCGGCCCCCCCCCCCCTTTTTTTTTTTAAACTTAGGCATGACTCAAGTACTCATTATGTCATCACAAGAGAAGACACCCATCAGCACAAGAGCTGCAGTATATGCTGTGAACTAGCTAAAGGACACAACAACGGGTTGCACTATTGTAATCCGTCAAATTTTGAGGATTCCTGCAGAGTCCTTCAGTGACACATTTCAAAACCAGTCCTACTTATTAGCTTTATCAATGGGCTAGGCACAGAGTGGAGATGGTTGATGAATTCTGTTGATAATGTTGTGTAATTTCATTAGAGCATAATCAGACTACACAGTGAAGTACACAGAGACATAACAGAAGTGAAATGAAAAATCCTAGAGTGTGTTAACATTCACAAATTTCTGCTCTACCTAGCAGCTTCTCAGTTGGAAACGAGAATCAACTTTGGTGATCATAGCAAAGACTGAGTCATCCACCAGGCATAACAGTGAAAGAGATGGCAATTCTAAACTGCACTAGGGAGCACTCTTACAATAGAAATATCAGTGCTAATATACAACCTTGTGCTGAGACTACATGCAGGATATCAGGGACAGGTCAGCCATGTTCAAGAAAGATTAAATCCTAGATGGTAACAAGTCCAGCAAAGAGCTAGGAAGATGACTAGGGAAAATGAAACATGCATTTTATGTTCAAAAAAACCAAAGATTGCGATGAAATATGATTGTATTTACAAAAAAATACCAGAAAGTGACAGAAATACATCAGTTCTCTTCACAAATAATGTTGACAGGTGAGCAGGTGAGTAAGTGGGTAAAAACAGCTGTTAAGCTTGGAAATTAGAAGATCTCTACCAGAATAGCAGGATTCTAGAATAGTTTTCCTATAGAAGCAAAAGGGGCACAGAATTTAACCAATTTTAAGACAGAATAAGAGGAACTACAGGATGTGCTTGCCTAAAACAGCAGGAAGCTAAACACGGTAGCTAACAGGGTCCTTTCTCACCAACTCCTTTGCAGTTGTACTCTAATCAGCAGTGATCTAAAAATTTGCAAAAAAAAAGGGAGGAGGAATAGGAACTTATTGGACAGGTAAGTACTGGGAATCTCCCAGCCAAACCCATGTTAACTACTTAAAAGAGCACCAAGTAAAAAGGCCAGCAACACAGTAAAGCTAGGCATTACACAGGGAGAGCATTTGCCAGAGATACAAGTATGAAACACACTCCACCACCACCCCTGCAAAACACTTTGATTATTAGAAGAGAAATATGCTCCAGTCCTTTTCTTTGGGGTCTAAGAACTATTCTTTCTCATTCCTATTCTGCTAGGTATCTAAGTTTTTGTCCTGCATCTCTGGGCTCAGGATACAGTTTCCATGAGGTAGCCATGTTAACTACTGTTATTTGACACTCAATATTGGAAGTAGCAAGATTGTATACTTGCTTCATCAGACCAAAGGTATGGGTGTTATTTAGCCCAGGGACCCTACTGAAGAACTCCTGGTGCTTTTCAAAGAGGTGCAAGAAGTTTTAGAGGGGATAGATACTGATTTCTCTGGGCACAGAGAAACATCTTCTTTGTTCCTATAACTATTGAAAATCATAGTCTATAGAATCCGTGTCTCAGCTTTTAAAGTTTGGTGTTTATTTCATCTAATGCAACCTCGGACATTCATGAGAAAGAATCCCACATTTTTACTTTTGTAAGGTAAGAAATGCTTCTATGTCTTCTGTACTATTTACAGATCCAGGGACATTGCCATGTCTTGTACATAACCTTCCATGGCTACTCATTTCCCTTTCCAGGTCTCTAGTCCTTTTCCTCATCTAGCATTTACTACATGTCTTTTTAAAACAATGTTGGGTTTGGATCACCAGTCACCAAGCGTCTATTATATAGCACACACTCACTCATCTTCCATCTATCTGGTTTTTCTATTTTTTAAACACCTGCCCCTCCTTCAGCACAGCACAGTGTTTTTTGGTGATCAGTCCACAATGATGTCCAACATGACTGCATGTCGCGTTCTTTTTAAAGTTTGTTGCATATGGTGAATGCCTCTTAGCAAAACACATTGTGAGCTCCCCTGCCAGAACTGAACAATCTTTCCCCCTTGATACGTGCCTGGAACATAAAACATCACTGATGCAAAGAAAGAGCATCCTTTACTTCAGTCTTTCAATATCTGATGCACTCTGGCATTATGGTTCTTTGCTCTTCCCTCATTTACAAGGGATGAGGGACTCAGGTAGCACTTACACCTAGAACCAAGGGAGACTACTGTGCCAGCAGAAAAAGTCTATATGTGAGAGGTGAAGATCTCAGCAAGGTTTCATTTTAAGCAACAGCATCTAAGACATTCCCAAGACACAGGGAGGATGAACACAAAGCCACAGGCTATTTGATTTCTTTGAGCCTGAGACCTGATCTATGAAAATGAAGCCAATACAGAAGACTTTAGGGGGAAAAAATTGCTATTTTTGGAAAACCATTTACAACAAGGCTGCCCTTTCATCACTCGTTTTCTTTTGTTGTTAATGCAGCCACCAAGCTGACAGAACAGATCAAAAGAAACATCAGAGAACAAATTAATCAAGCTGTTGTGCCAACCTGGAGTGCTAACACCTACAGCATAATTATGCTTGAAGCTGGGGACGGCCTGGAATGCTGGCAGCAAGAGCACTGTTTGCCAAAGAAAAATAGTGCTGGGTGCACCATCCGCTCCTAGCCACCCTTATGACACCTTCTTAACAGCTGTTCCTATTGATATACTGTTTAGCATGCCTTTTTTTTTTCCTTTTCTTCTTTTAAGTTCTTCTGCATCCCACTGTGGATCAGTAAGTATTGACCAAATCACCCTCCTCAAGTCCCAGTCAGTGTTAGAACAGGATAAATTCCTGACACATGAGTAAATGTGGAAGAACTAGGCCAGTTTGGCCACCATGGCTAGAAAATGAAATAACGAGCAGTGAGCAGCATGACAGAAACTATATTCAAAAGATATAAACAAGGTAAAACCTTCAAATATTTTACCTGTAGAAACTCTATATTCTACACTGTTCACCAATTTGATACTTAAGCTGTGGGAAATTTTAAGGATACGCAACATCATATAAATAAATATAAATAAATGCCAGAGACAGCATTGTCTCTGCTGCCAAATAAATTCCCCACTCCAATGCTGATACAACTGACAATTACAGTTTAAGACTGGCTCATGTTCATTTCAGAATTATTAAAAGCAAAACTGGCAAAAGGAGATAAGAAATCTGAAGCCATCTTTTCCCATTTTGCAATTAATAGAGAAAGACAGGGCAGAGACTAAAATCCCTCAAGTCCCTGCAAAGCCATTTCCTCAAGACCACTGGAGTCATCTTTTGTGCATTTGCTGGATGGAGCATTAGCAAGGTCACTGCCGTGGAGCTGAGCCCTGAGCCCAGAGCTCCGAAGGGTGCTGAAGGCCAGCCGCTGAGATCACAGGACTGAGCTAATCACGCTGCTGTAACTTGCTCAGATGCATACACTTCAGTGGAAAATATTCTACTTCCAAACTATCTTTTCTTTGTTTAATTGTAACAGGAAGAAGAGCTGCTCAGAGATGGAGGTTGGCCACAAAGTCATTTCTTTGATGGAGAGTGGAGCTGGCAGGCAGTCCCAGACTTCAGCTGCACCATTTCATCTGCCTGAACTCCCAAACCACTTGTGGCTCATCAGTCCCAGAAAGTGCAATAGTCCCCTCTGAGCAAGTGGACTCTCTCACATGACCACCTCTGATTTACAGCAAATGAGGGGGGGGCCCTGAAAGGACTATTGAGGTCACATGCTTTACTGGGAAAATAGTCTATTTCCAAGATCATGAAGAGTCAGAAAAAACTCCTCCAACCCACCTCTCCACTGTTACACATTTAGCTTCACAGTATCTCTGTAGATTTGTGCACCCTGGCAAACTTGCAGCTTGCCTTTGTTCTGTGCCTACGCAAGCTTGGCAAATACCTGTTTTAGAATGAGCACAGCTGCTATGTCTTCATACATTCCTACTAGACCTTGGCAGAGGAAGATACAGCTAACAACCTAGAAATGCCAGAGTTGGGCTCGGCATGCAAAAAGGAAGCAGCAGAGTAAAACTGAACATTCCCAAATGGTAATAAATCAAGATTGACAAGCCAAGCACTATGAAGCACAAAGTGGGGAGTCAGAAGAGCTGGGGATGGGCTTGCACGCAGGAACCCTGCCTGCAAGAAGGGCACGATGACAACAAAAAACATAGCCCAATTTCCAGCTAATTGGAAGCTAATTCAGAATGGAAGTGTCCTGGTAGGGGAGAGGGAGAAATTGAAATGTTGATGTCTTGAGGAGCAGATGGTTCTTATTTTCTATGAGATTCCATAAATTATAAACAACACCTTACACTTTTTTCCTCTCTCCTAAAATCAGCTGCCTTCTCAGCAGCCAGATAAGGTCTAATAAAAAAAAAAGCTATTAGCAGCTGTAGCACTCTTCAAATACTTTACAAGCTTGCAGAGAAGTCAGCAGCAAGATGCTTCCCCCTCTGACTTATTCTTTATTCTGTTCCAGAGCCTGGCTGGACCACAGAAAGTATTGCTACCACATGGCAAAACTTTGCCTTCAGCACTGATCCTTGGCCTACAACTTTATACTAATACTACAAAGTCTGGCACAAGACATGTCAAAGCACTGGCACACGAGTTCAACACGGTATTCTACTTTCAAGATGACACTAGATCCTGCTTCCCAAGAGACAGAATGGTTCTCAAGGACAAAATATAAAGCATTTTCCCCCTTTACAAGATCAAGGGCTACTGTCTAGAACCAGGGCTTTTATTTCCCACCAGGCTATAAACATCACATCACAATATTCTATACAATGTGAAGGAAGGAGATAAGACAGAAACACCAGATACTTTATCTGTCTGAGTGACACAGTAAGAACACTTTTTGTAATGGGATGGGCTACTGGTGGCTTTCCCTTAGCTCCTCTGATATCCCAGGTACTGGGAGGTAAGTGGCCCCATATAGGTTGCCCAGAGAAGCTGTGGATGCCCCATTATTGGAAGTGTTCAAGGTCAGACTGGAGCTTTGAGCAGCCAGATCTATTGAAAGATGTCCCTGCCCATGGCTGGGGGGTGGTGGACCAGAGAATCTTTAAAGCTTCCTTCCAACCCAAACCATTCTATGATTCTACAACGTAAATTCCCCACATCCCTGCTGTTCTGGTGTCACTACATATGTTCCTTTTGTGGGTGCTTTGAGCAACAGGACAGTTCACTCAGAGACCTCTATTGTCAGATATGTAACTTCTAGAAGTGCAGAACAGACAGGGCTGGGACTGGGAGAAACTTTTTCTTAATTCATTTCAGTGGCTACCTGTGAAAGCAGAAGTCTTTCTGAAAACAGAGTCCCTGTTCTCCCTAAAGAGTCAGTCCCTTAAAGCAGAATGCAATCAAGCAATGAATTCCACATTTGCACAGAGATGGCCTAAACTAAAAATCAGTGTACTAAGAAACATTTATGAGTATCTACCTCCTGTATTCATCCCAGGCTGCCACAAACATTTCTGCAGCTGTGCAGCAAGCTATATCAGGATACCATTCTGGGTTAAAAATAGCCTTTCTCTCAAGTTAGTTTTAGCCCCCAAAAAGTAATTCCTTGATCAGCTGACCATAAGCAACAAATATGCTTGTGCCTGCATCAGGAAGTCTCTTCCAGTGCAAGAGCTAGCTTACGCCACAGAACACATGTAAAACTATGGTTTAATTTTCACAAAGGGAAGGAGAAAATAAACAAACAAATAAGTCAGCAATATTGCTCATATTCTTGACCTAGATGCAGCTTTCACCTGAGATATGGGACAAATCACTGCTTTTGCAAATGGTAAGAAGCTACATCTACTTTCCCTGGCTTGCAACACTGGTAAGCAACAGATCAGGGCCCTGATTCCCAAAATGTATTGCAGCACTTTAATCCACACTAATGTCAATAACTTGGAGAATTCAGACCCAATACATTAGCAGGTTCTAATGTAAAGGTATAAAGATAACATCCCTCTAGAAACTTGTTGGTAAAAGAATGAGGAGATTGGATTCAGAATTATTCTAAGAGGATTGTACATTCCCATGAGAACGCTCACAAAAAAATTCCATTTATGCATGGATTTGCTTATAGCAAGAATATACAAGCTAGATAGGGCAGGAACAGCTCTGCATGCTTTTTGTCAACTTCCTCAAAAGGCTAAGCATTGTACAGTTCCCAATGAGACAAGACAATCAAGTAAACCAGGGCTGCAACATACAGCTACCTCTGGAAGATCCTAGAGCTTATGATAGCTCTAGCTGGTATAGACTTAAAGAAAGTACTTGTGTCCTTTTCTGTTTACCATTGCTGATTTCAGGCAGATCAAATTTAGTGAAGTCCCACCACTGGAGCCGGTAGGTGGTGTTGGCAATGTTGCTGGCCACAGCTGACTGTCCATCCCCAATCACAGCACCTACAGAAAAGGGGGAAATAATTAGCAATTTAACCTCCAGAAGATTATCCAGAAAAGAACAGGGGAAACAAAACCATAGAAAACCTTTTGCAATCCAATACACAAAACCAGATTCTTAAAGAAACCATATTTACAGAAATGAAAACACCTCCTAAATAAGCACCAGAGCACAGAAAATGAATAGGAAAGCACCTCCCTGCAGCATATTTTTGGAAAAAAGAAAAAAAAAAAAAGTTGATGGGAGACAACATTTGTCCAGACGCACAAAGCAGAAATCCTCATCAATTCATTTGGTGCAAATACATTCTACTTATTGGTACTAGTGAGGCTGTATTTTCACCGACCCAATGTTTTTTAGTACAGCTATGAAGGTAGACCAGAATACACACAAAGGAAAAGCACTGCCTTGGCAAATCACACACATTTTTGGACATAATCCCTACTACTACTATAAACTTGACTCAGAAGATACAGGTTGCCTACAATATTTGCCACACAGTAAGGATTGTAACAAAATATTGGCAAGCAGGACCTATGAGCTGGCCTTTTGCTGCTCTTGGCGGACAAACTTACAGCAGGCAGGGGCTGCCCTGACTCCAGGTAAATGACATGACCCTTGCTAATCACCCAAGGATTTGGGCAACAGCCCAAAGCAGAAGGCTAAGCAGAGTATCACAAAGAACAGAATTTTCCAGGCAGAAAGGAACTGCCACTGGTAACTCAAGTTGGCATACATTTGAAAAAGCTCAGAGGCATTAAATGCAAGCCCTAGGGAGACAAACAGGAAGAAGAAACAGTTCTCCCATAATAGTACTAGAGTCAAAAATCTCATGCTATTTGCAGTCTCTAAGGCCTTCATATACACGCAGTCCTTGTACTACACACACATGCTGGCACCCACAGAAAGGTAATAGAATTTGATAAGGGAGAGTAAACCAAGATCATCCCCAAGCACAAATGAGAAAAAACACAGCCTCCAGAGTCTATGCAGTCTGGATTTCAGCATCTCCACGCCATCTCTGGTGGGAAGCACACAGAAAAGTCAGTAGCTGCGCTCTCCCAGAAGGCCTGGCTCAGGACTCTGCTGCCAAAGCAGCAACCGTGGAAGAGATGTCACATTGACAACTCCGTATCCAGCACACAGCAGGCCAGCTGCCTGTGCAGAGAGCTAAAAGCTTGCTAACTGCTAGTAAACTAAAGTGGTGTGGAGGAAGAAGAGGAGACTAGGCTGGCTGGATTTTTACTTATCAAATCCCAACAGAACACTCAGGCTTTTTGAAAAAAGGCCTGAAAACACACAGACACACACTAACAGGGTTTATGTTTTCTCTGCAAAGTAAAGAACAAAACCAGCAGGGCAATGTAAGGAAGCAAATTCTAGACCAGTGTTGATAAATAAAGACATCAAGAAGGCTACTGCTAGTCCTCTTTTCACCGATAAGCTATCTCGAGTACTGATTTTTGGTTCTGGAGAAAGCTCAGAAATATGCCAAGAGCAAGACTTCTGAGCAGCCAGCTTTACACTGTGTACTCAGCTGTGCAGGGCTCCAGCAATCAACAAGCCTCCACCACACGTCTGGTCAGTCTCTCTATCTACCTCTGTCAGATGCACACATATCACTTGGAGAACAGAATTAAGAACATTTCCACTGGTCTCGCACATGCCCAAGGCCTTGTTCTCTATATCATCCAAAACAAAGTGCTCCTCTGAACAAAAGATTCACACTGGAGAAAACGGATTCAATGCATTAATGCAATTACATTTTGCAACCAGAAGTGGAAGAAGGACAATTAAATTTTATGCTGCTTCATCTTTAAAAGTCTTCTCACTGCAAGCCCGGGTCTGGCACAAAAGGGCAGCTCTCTTGCTGTCTCCCCTCGAGCCACCAGGTGGAGAACAGAAAACTAGTTTCTGTACAGATTTGAAGCAGTGGGACTTGCTGCAGGGAAACAGTAACTAACATCACCAACTACGTAACAACTGCCTTATAGGGTTGAATCAGACACAGAAAACACTTTGCAAAGACAAGAAACAGAAATACTACTCAGGGCACTTAATTCCAGAATACTGATCTTAATACAGATGAACATTTCAAAGTCATAAACTGGTTTTCAGTAAGAACGACCTTTGTAGGCATAGCAAGTAATATATAAACTGGAGAATAGCATACCCTAGGAGAGTAATCATGGGCTTCCTCTGCATTACAGAACCCTATTAATATCACTAACCGCTCATCAAACATCAAGTTCATCTGACTCATACAACTGTTGCACCTACTGCTAACAAGTACCACAAAAAAAAGCTGTTGGCAAATGGTTTTAAATTTTTTTCTATAAAGATTTTGGTCTTTTCATCCCTTTCCCCGGATCCTTCAGGTTAGTTATGGTGTTCATTTAAACCTCACATCCCTTTAACCTCCAAAGGCAGTCACATCCTACACAGAAAATCTAACAATGGAAAAAAAAAAAAAAGGCAACCCAATACGCCCCATCTACATGACAGTCCTGCACAAATTTGAGAGTCAGCAAAAGCTATCAATTAGTCTAGTGCTTCACATAACGGATACCTTTATCAAAAAGATTAGAATACAGGGAACAAGGTTAATAGAGTGAAAGGTACATGTTCAGAAGTATTTGGTCCATTTCTCAAAGGCTCCAAACCAGCATGCCTAAAACTAATGGAAAATCCCTGATCTACATGTTTTTATTAAGTAATTACCTCTACTTATACTAATTATGTAATTGAGAAGTGTAATTATTAAAATATATCTAGCTATATATAACAAAGTGGAATAGCATTTGTTTCGCAAGTCCTGCCAGAAGCCGCCCACATGCACGCATGCATGCGCTGTCCTACAGTAGAGATGATTAAAAGCATGCAAACATTTCAGACTTT